CACGTAGCCCAAAACACTTACTTTACTTTGCACGCAGCCTATTCATTTTATTTGCACGCAGCTTATTCATTTTATGCTAAAACATGTGTTCATTCTGAATGCAGGTGACTTCTCGCACTGTGTGGGGATATGGCTCTACCGCAGCGAGAGATTGGTACGCCGAGCTCCCGGAGGCTGTTCGGGATTTGGTTGACTTGGCGGGGTTTGGGCCCTTCTGTACTGGGCTATCTCGTTGTCCTGCCAGGAGGACGTTGATGGCCGCCTTGGTGGAGAGATGGTGGGACACCACCAACTCCTTCCATTTTTCTGCCACGGGGGACTTGACTATGACCCCGTTTGACTTTGCTGTACTGACTGGCCTTGGCGTGGGAGGTTGGCCCATCCCTTACGACGAGGACATGGGCCAGTGGGAGGCTGCTTGGATATATTTGCTGGGGGTTCGCCCGCCTGTTGATAGATCTTCGGGGAGAGTCCGATACATCTGGTTCTCTTCCCATTTCCGGCGGGTGGAGATGTAGCCCGAGACTCCGGAGGAGGCAGCACAGTATGCCCGCGGCTTTCTGATGTTCCTCTTCGGGACCACTTTGTTTGCCGATAGGGGGAACACTGTTGGGCTTTATCTGTTGAGTGCTTTGGTGGACCTGTCACAGGTCAGACGGTATGACTGGGGTGGCGCCGGGTTGGCTACCCTTTATTGCTACATGAGTGCGACCTCCCGCGGACGGGGGGACTTACTTGGCGGCTATTGGAGAGCCTGGGAGGTACTTTTTGCCCTCTTAATTTACATTTCTGCTCCTCATTACTTGCACATTGCACACACAGCGCACTTTATACTCTGTATCGTGCACTTTGCCCTCAGCACTTCGTATTCTGCTTTACTTTCCACAGTTGTGGGTCTATGTGTATTTCCTGATATTGGCCCCGGAGTTGGTGGTGGAGGGACCTCTCGTGACCCTGTACTCACTTGTATTTGAAGGCCAGCACCGGCCAAGACCTCGGGAGTCTCTCCTTTATCTGCGGCGGTACTTCGACACGGTGCGGTCGACGGAGGTATTTCAAAACTCTCAGTTCTTTCTGTTTTCATCTTTGATTTGTCCTGTACATTTTCGATTTCTGCTTGGTTTATGCGTCTGTTATCTATAGATTACATGGCAGCCCTGGGCGCCTTTAAGTGAAGGTCTCCGATTCCAGTTTGCCGGAGGGTGGGGTGTCTCCCGGTACAGGATCCTGTTCAAAGGGCCAGTTGGTAGGGCCTGGTTTTTGGGGGACCGCTTCTTGCGTCAGGTCTGGGGGTACACTTCTCAGGACCCTCCCTCAGCACCCCCAGTCGATATGCGGATTGCTGATAGGCTCTCTTCTTGGGATGTTGTTAGTGCTATGTTGGGTACTGATGCTTTGCTACATCTTGAGGAGGGGGATTACGCTACTTACCATCACATATACCTGATGCCTCCATTGACGGGAGTTCGTACTCCGACGATGAGGCCTGCTGGCATGCCATCTTCGAGCCAGGCCCAGGCTCGGGCTGCAGACGCCCCTTCCACCAGCAGGGCTGGTACATCTAGAGGTGGGGGTGGATTGGTTGCCCCGATTCCTTCGACTTATCCTCATCCTGGATGGCCGGACATGCTGGCCGAGTTGATGGGGTGGCAATATGGGACTACCTCTCCGATTCCGATCCCGATAGAGCCTCCAATGCCCGGCCATCGATATGTCAGTTCAGAAATTTAACCACCGGTATGTTTTACGGCTTTGATTCATTACTCAGATACTTGGACGTTCATTCCTTTACTGATACCCTTGCCTTTGCATCTGCAGCCCCCT